TAAGTAATTAGTTGAAAAAGGGAGTAAAGTCGGTTGGTAGATATAAGAAAGTAACTAACTGATACGAATTAAGGAAAGACCCGGGCAAGCTGTAAGAATGAAATATGGCCGAACAGGTGCTTAGAATTTAATTTTTTGGGGTTTTGTTATTAAAGATACTAAACAATATTTATTTATGTATGTATTTATGTTTAAATCTAAAATAAAATTACAAATTATTTTTATTACCCATTTTAATTACTTAAAATTATTCACATAATATATCAGTATCACTATCGCTATCATCGCCTGTTCTAATTATTATATGTTCTATATTATTTGCAATATGGATATACGATTGTTCTGCTTTTTCTATATGTTTAACAGAATTTGCCCAACCCAGCCCTTTTCCGGGGTATCATAAGTGTCGAACCAGGTTTCATCCAAGTAAATAATTGGCCTTTGTTGTTCTCTGTAAATCCTAATTTTTTCTAGATATTCCAGTCGCCATTTCCAAATTCTAAAAGATTGCATTAAAACTTGCCTTTTGTCAATTTTTTTAAATCTAAAACCCATGTGTTGAATACACTTCCATACGGTAGTTCTGCCACATTTAACACCGGTTTTCATGTTTTTCAAGCCTCTTAATTAAGCTATCTAATGTAGGCACGCTTTGTTCCTCGTATAACTGGTAAATTTTATACCGTATTATATCTTAATCACTTTCATCTACACTCGAGAAAATGTCAGCATCGCTTCTTTTTTTCCTCGCTGAAATGGGATTATTCACAATTTTCCATACAGTTGATGTTGGAATTTTCGTCAATGTGGCAGTTTCTTCTAAAGATGCTTGCTTGTTGGCACCACGTTCAATGAGAGTCAGATAAACATTGTTTATAACTTCCTTAGTCTCAATAGAATAGTGTTTTTTACATTTGGGCGGGAGCATCTCCAGAGATACACTAGACTCGCACATATTTTGCATAATTCGCACACGATTCAACACACGCTGTATTACACACGAAATAAGAATGATTACTAATAAACTTAAACTAAGTAGTATACCAACCAAAGAATATTAAACTCAGGTAGGTATAAAATTATTTTCTATTACGGACCACAATTTTACCTGAATTTAAATTACGAAACTTTAGGTAATAATCTTGTTGCATTGTATATTAATAAGCACCCTTGGATAATCCCATTCAAAAGCAATTGGTCACTTTCTTATATGTATGAACAGACTATACCTGATTTAGTTTACTTATTTGTGAAAACTATAATAATAAAAAATACCATCTAGTCAAAACTGACTTCTAGAGTGTTTTCATTATCGGCTTGGTTAAAAGTATTGAATTGAAGAATTAAGAGTCTCGGGTTCAAACAACTCCTGAGCTAGCACAGAGGAAAGTTCAGTTTTAACGCCAACAAAAAACGATCAACCGTATTTCGAGCGTTCAGTCCTAATCTCACTTCCGACACGCGCATACATGTTAACCGCCTAGGGGCGAATTAAACTCCCCTCCCTCCGGGTTGTTGTTATTTGACAAACTCGCGCACTTACTCGGAAAAGGTTCAAATGAAAATCGTAAATAACTCCCCGAAAACTTAGCATAATTCCGTTTCAAGACTGCGAAATATGTAATAAGTTTAAACCGCTGGGGAAGTGTCTGCGTAATTGGTTCGACGGTCCCGCGAGATATTGGAGTTGATTAGGCGCGGTTTTTGGCCGAGTATATAGGTTTTTTGTTGCTGTTTTACGGGAGGCAACATTAAACTGCCGGGACGTTTATAAGAACGCCCGGAAACGACTTACGGCTTGTTTCCGGCTATAAATCAACGCTCCCTCTTGCTTCTTGTAATTGAGAAAAAAAGAGGCCAAAGAAGGAGAGTAATAAAATCTCATTAGGCATGCAAAGGCACCACAGAGCGACCCACAAATACTTAAGCCACTTTCATTGTTCTCTTAAGTGTCACGATGAATGTTTCTGTAGAAAGATTCGAAACTAGTTCTATATGTAGAGCTTTCGTGACCATACAGACCAACAAGCAGATGTACGACTTAGACTTAGTAAAGAAGATAATCTAAGAAGAACCTTATTGAAAATTACCTTATTGGACGTTAACTCACGTAACTCTTTAACGAAATTTTGCTCTTAAAGATTTGAATTTGAATTTCATCAATATTGAATTCCAAAATTCTGTACTTGGATCGCTTTCGATAAAATGGAGTACAGTTTTTATCTTTCTTTCTTCTGGAATATTTATGATTGAGGTCCTTGCGAAATCAAAATCTTTAAGATTTAATTCGGTATTTCAGAACCCAGCAGGATTGTTTGACGAAGATATATGTCTCCAATGAAAGTCCGACGTCAGTCGTTAAATTTCTGAAACTCGATTTACACGAATTACACTATGAAAGGAAATCTCACTACTTAGAACTGAAAGAACCTTTGACGTCAGGTTAGGCAAGAGGAGTGCTCCAGAGAGCTCAGGATGAGGTAGGGTGTTGTAATTTTCTGTTGAGAATGGCGTATTAAGAAGTCTGTGTATAGAAGAGTGAAATGCAGCCATTTTGGGTGATTTGAGCTGTTTTGTATGACTGTGTTCGTGTGTGAAGGTTTATGATAAATGGAAAAATCTAATTTGTTTTGCGTTTTCGTAATAGTTAAGTTTAAAAAGTTAATAGAGTTAACCTGTTCAATCCCGATAGTGAATTTTAAACGATTATGGAATGAGTAAATGTAATTTAAACAATTACAACAAAGAACTTAATCTCATTAAACAAATTGCACCCAACAACGGCTACAATCCGTCCATTATAGATAAAATTATAAATAAAAAACCAATCCAGGCAACAGTAAACTCTATTTATCCGAAACCTGATACAGAACATAAACAATTTAAACCAATTACATACATAGGAGAACCCAGTGAAAAAGTTTTAAAACATTTGTCAAAATGTGGTTTAAAAATAGCGTTCAGAACTAACAACGCAATAAGAAAATGTTTAAAAAATAATAAAACGAAATGTCCAAAATCTCAAAAATCAGATTGAAATGCGGATCTTGTCCAAAAATTTATATTGGACAAATAGGTAGGTCCTTCAAGAAACGCATTAACGAACATAAAAGAGCGTTTAAAAACAATAGTCTAGATTCTAACTATGCAACACACTTAAACACAGAAAAACAAATTTTTTACGGCAATTTTGATATTTTACATACAACCACAAAAGGTAGGAAATTAAATTTATTGGAAGCCATGGAGATTAACAAAATGGGACATTCAAATGTATTGCTTAACGTTCAATTAGATTTAAATACCTCTCCTTTATTGAACTTAAATTCTCACAACAACATTAATTAAGGTTTTATTGCCATTTTTTGGTGAATATAGTAGCACGTAGTTTGTAGACACGGTGTTGTCGAAACAATTGTCATATAAAAATATATAATTTCGTGAAAATTTGAACTTTTAGTTCTGATTTATTTTAATAAACTGATTTTCATTAAGTAAAAGCCACCTCAGTTCAATTTTCGAAATTAGCGTCGTTCATCCAGGTCTGGTTTTTTCACCTAATTGTTTTTATCTCAGAAGTTGCTTCATTGTATTGTTATCTTCTTAAGTTTATTCCAGTGCTCGTGGCATTTATATTCTTGTGGTTCCACTTGGATTTTTTTTTTCTATTTTTTTCGAAATTTGTTAATGGCTTTTCTGTATGTAATCAGTTTAGTTTTGATTAGTTTTGGTTAGTTAGTTAGTATGTAAAGTATGCAATCAGTGTTTATTTTTGGGGCTGTGTGCTGTTTCTTTTTTATTTTCTTTAGCCTGAATTTAAGTTTTGCTTCCAAGAGACTAACGAATCTAAAAAAGTGTCATTTGAACTTGTGCTGCAAGATAATCGTTTTACGATTATATGAAGACAAAATTTATATAATACTTATATTTGTATCTTTACTCTCGGACATTTGCACAAACTGCAATGCAGTACATCTTCTGCTACTACTGTTAGAAAGATAATTAGTTTCTAATGTTACTGTTATAGCATAGTATTACACATTACAAAGCAACACTAGCTTCTGGAGTTCAGTGATTGCAAGCAATAATAAATAGAGTATATTTTTATTGAAACATTGAAAGTTTATATGCAGGGTGTCCCACAACATGATTGCCATGGTTTGGGAGTGTGTTGCTGTAGTGGTTTCAAGTTATAAATGTCAAATGATCATATATATGGAACGCTATTCTAACTGAGATTCAATCATTTGAAATTTTAAAGACCAATTTAAAGAAAGATCTTTATATTTTATTTTAATATTTTTTATTTATCTAATTGAATTAGTTGTTCAAAAGGTTCACCCAGTTGCTATATACATAGCATAGCTCTTGTTAAAATTTAAGTGGTAGCTCTGCTAACAGTCTCAGGATCAGCACGAATACTTTCTGCGGCATGCATAATTCTACCTACCATTTGTTCTATGTTTTCAATACTTTTGCAACTAAAGCTTTCAGACTTTCCCGTGAAAAGTAATTTAAGGGATTAAGGTCAGGTAACTTGCTTGCCAAGGAACTGCCAAACTTCTTCCAATCCAATTTTTATTAAGAAATTCTGTTACTTGTCGACCAAAGTAAGGAGGTGCGCCATAGTACTGAATCCACATTCGTTGTCTTACATGAAGAGGAACATTATCCAATAATATTGAAGCATCAATTTTCAAATTTCCATGAAACTTGAATAACGAATAGCCGTGAAACGTTCTTCAATTATAAATGGACCAATGAGGCCGTCGTCAATAATGCAATACCAAATATTCACCGAAAATCTGCCTTGACAATGAGATTCCCGAGTTGGTCGTTGATTCTGAAGTGCCCGACAATGTGAATCCCGGTGCTGTTGATACCGTTTATCACTAAATAATATTATCAGATTTTTCCTTTGATTTCTCAATATTCAGCGAATAAATTCTAGTCCTGCAGCCCAGTAGGTTTTAAAGCTTGTATGGGTAAGATGTGGTACGAGTACAAACCGAGTTTGTGTAAAGCTCTCTATACTCTCGTCCGGCATAAGTTACCTATTCTTCGGACACTAGTAGAAGGTTGAACATCAATCGTATTAAGTAATGCCTCTTCTTGAGCAAGTTGATGGACATTGCTAAAAACAGGCAAGTAGGGAATCGTAGACGATATTCATCAACTGCCACTCGTCCGTTTCCATTAAACAATCCATAAAAAAAGTGAATTAGAAAACATTTTACCTTGAAGAGTATTTTAATGTAACACGAAAATAAACACGCAATTTCATTTAATAGACGTTTAATGTCACAATACATGAGATTCAGAGTCACCTGAACTTTTTATTAATAATATTTAGCCTAACCAAACTAACGTAGTACTGGAGCAACTAATTCAATAAAGCGGTTTCTTTTTAAATAGTCTTTTAAATTTCAAATGCTTGCAGCTCAGCATAGTAAAGTATAGTATATAAATATTTGTTAATGTTAATTTTTTTACGAATGTTTTCGAAATTTTAGTAGCCCTTTTTGATAGATCCCTTGAAAATGAAAAAAAAAAGAGTACAGTTTTCGACCCAACAACAACGACTATTCGTGTGGAATTTCGGTTTTTTCTTACTTACTTACTGGTGGTCCCAATAAACACGACTAGATCTATAAATAAATTGCGTTAAACAATGAATGTTTAACGACGGCCTGTACCATTATGTTAATGCAAATTTCCGATTGACCTTTGCGAATTTTACGGACAAAGCGCCAATTAAACCCATTACGAACGTTGTTCTTGGGCAAGGTCAAGGTAGACCTTAACAATAAACTTAATATTATAGTGAACGTTATATTTGTTTTATTTATTTTAATCATAAGTTTTAACTACGGCCATAAAAACATCTCATATGGCGCAACAAAAGCATTCGTTAGCATAGAAGGTTGAGGTGATTCAATTTTTAGCACTATTCCAGTGTCTTTTGCTTTCTTCCTAGTTTCACCTTGAAAATCGACTTTCGTTCTTGGTACATAAAATCTGCATCCTTTGTGCAGTTGCTAACCGCAAAGCCTGCCGCTACCACTGCGCCGCCACAATGTCGAAAACGCTGCTCAACATCGACCAATCGGAGATACGGAACCAAATTCAAAAAGAATTCGGCAAGACGGAAAAGGACGCGAAAGAATGTATCGAAATCATACAGAAATGGGCCGAGACGCAACCCCATTGGCCCCAAGTGCCTAGTAAGTGCAAGAAACTTTTGTAGCAGTGAAATCGCCTCACAAATATTTCTATTTCTGTTTTATATATATCTAAAGTTTTTAATTACCAATTTAGGCAAGTATTAGTATGCGCCGAATGGAATTTGGTCATACTAATATCGATGACGTTGATATCTCCTCGATTTTACAGGCAAAAAACTGATCAGGACGTTTTTGTTCATAAACAAGTTCAGTATGGAGAAAACCAAGCAAAGACTGGATATGTACTACACCATGCGGGGGTTGATGCCAGAGTTTTTCAACAAGCACCCTTTGTCGTCGGAAATGATCCAGCAAAGCAAAGTCAGGCAAGTACTGGACAACTAAGGAAAATTACTCCCTCCAAAAAAACCTGCGCAAAGGTTTAATCGGTTTCATTGAGACATATTTCAGTTATTTCGTGCCTCTCCCGAAGCCCGCCCAGAACCACAGAAGGGTGATCTACTCTAAAATCACCAACGATTACGGGCCGGATAAGTTCAACTACGAAAACTATATGAGCTTCGCTCAGAACGTTTTGGAATTGCTACTCTACGAAGACGAATTGCTGGGCATCCATTTCGTGTTCGATTGCGAGTACCTCAAAGTCGGACACATCCCGAAATTCAACCCGCTGGTGCTGAAAAAGGCGTCGATTATAATAGAGGTGCCCAAACTTGACTGAAATTTCCGATCTATTGTCATGCGCGGTTGAATTTTAGAAAGTGTACTCGAACAGGGTTGCGTCAGTGCATTTGGTCAACTTTCATCCCTTTTTGGAGAGTTTGCTAGGCATTTTTAAACGTGCAATCTCACCGAAAATTGCCTCGAGGGTGAGCAAGCGATAGGGTCAAGGGAAGTAGCTCAACATAATCCACGTACGGTTTCAGATGTACGTGCACTCCAGCAGTGACACTTTGTTCGATCATCTTCCGAGAGACATCATGCCCGAAGACGTAGGGGGTGAGGAAATGTCCTTGCGCGTGTTAAACGGTAAGCGCTACCCCTGATCGCGCGGCACCGAGTGATTTTTTGGTGCATTTTAGACATGTGGTTGAAAAAATTTTCGAACTACGAGAAACATTTCGAAGACGTAATCACGTTGAGGACCAATGAAAGCTTGCGGCCCGCCAAGCTGGTGAATGACGAGATTCTGGGCTATTACGGAAATTTCAAAGCATTGGACGTCGACTAATGCGAGCATCATTTGTAAGAATCTGTAGATTGCCCTATGTTGATTAAAATCACTTCTTTGTTCAACGTCGTTTTTCAATATTCCTCTTTTTTCATATCTAATCTAACATTTGCATCACCATTTTGCGAAACACTGATGGACATCACTCTGCAAGTGAAAAATACTTTATTATGTTCCGATTTATGATTGAGCAACATATTAAATATAATTTAATAATAATCCAGTCAAGTTAGACCAATAACAAAAACGAGCTGCATTTGAGAGATATAAAAATATTTTATTAAAGTTGTAGATCACAAAATTATATACAAAAATGGCCATTATTTTTTTACTCAGAAACTACCATACTAATACTATATTTACATACAAAATCGCCTTTACCTATAATGTCTTCTTCGATTTCTTCTTTTTCCTCCTTTTCTTGCCGGATATTCATGAACTGTTTGAATGAACATGAATCAACTGTCTCTTTGGCACAACATTTTTTTTTCAATTTTCATACCATGATCGACAATACCAGTGTCATCTTCACTCAAAAATTGAGGGACAACTGTTTATTTCTTGAGCAAAAGTCTAGAATGGGGAACGGTGTCAAATGTTGAACAATATATTTTTAAAAATCTTTGTAAGCGATACAAAACCAAACGTAACCGTAAAACCAATTGAATTATGAAATTATTCAATCATAACCTCACTTACCAGTTGCTATTTATTTATTTGTTCCTTAAAGTGGTGCGCGTTTTAAAATTTACAAATCGCGGAAGAGTCCACGGCAGTACTGTTTAGACCCTAAGAATTTTAAAAATTGCAACGAGCTGAATCGGGAAGCAAATTTAGGGTTACAATATTATTACGGGCTTTAGCACATTTATCCTGTAATTTTCTATTTAATTTTTTGCCAATTTCTCTAAACGTGTGACATTTTTAAGAAAACAATCATAAACTCAAAACCGTTGCGATCTTCTTATACTTGAAAAACTACAAACAACAGTTGGGTTATATAAGTTTTATAACTTCTTTTAGGTTTCGTGGTAGCTGTAGAATATTTATCAGGCTGAAATGACCAACACCAAAGGTTTTATAGATAAAGTAACAAAAACGTTTTCGAAACAATATTACAAAACTGTTACAATTGCTAAAAAAGGAAACGCTTTTCTCATAAACCTGACTCCTATGTTGCTTCATAAAACCTAATAAATCATTGCCCGTTATAACATTTGTTGAGTAGGGTAATATTCGTTTATAATTTTGTGTATTATATTTTTAATGCGTTTTAAGAATTTTATAAATACAAATACTCAAATGAAAGCGGTAGCAACGACGCAAAATTTCAAATCGAACATGTTCACAACAAAATTAAATAGCCTAAATGTTATTATCGTCGCCTAGTTGCCGGTAAAATTAAAAAAAAAAAAAACGACAAGTAGTAACAAATGCAATTAAGAGAAAGAACTACTCGCGTTGACAAACTCAGTCAAGGACCACGACGGTCAAGGCGCACGCTCAATTCGAGGCCTTTGCCCGAAACTCCACACAAAGGCGAATGTGGACGAGATATCGGCCAATAATTCGAATTTAGAGAATTGGTAAAATGTGGCGAAAGGCACATAATGAATGAACACGCACTCTGAGGTGGCTTTTACTTGATGAAAATCCATTTATCAAAATAAATAAGAACTAAAAGTTCAGGTTTTCACGAAATTAATATTATGACATGACAATTGTTTCGACAACACCGTGTCTTTATCAAATGTGAATGTGGAAATCAGAACTTTTAGTTCTTATTATATATCTTATATAAGATTGCGAAAAATAGCCACAATCTAAACAAGATTGCTTTCGAAAAATGGTCGCTGGGCGGGGCAAATTCGTAGCGCTTAGCACGAAGCAGCTTTTTATTTTATTTGTGGTGAAGGGACGCATCGTTTTTCTATCGTGCCCCTGCGGACCACTATGGAAATTTCGCAAAATCGATGTAATTTTATTGTGCGTGCGCCCTGGATGAAGTGTCTTTCACATCTCGGCGGACTTCAAAGTTACGGCAACCTGTGGTAAATTCAAAATTTTTTGCAAATAATAGCGATTCCCAATTATACTTATTCAAATATCTGGCGTACTCTGTATCGCAGACGAACTCTATCTGGACACTATTTAAACCAAATTATCCCATGATTTATAGTTTTCCATTTACAGCTAATAATTAATAGCCCTAGATTTCCCACGTTTTCAATAGAATAAATAGTTTTTGAGAAAATACCTCTTTTCTGAAACCATGCAGTACGCCGTAATAGTAAATGAAGTCATTGGGTCTAAATTGACTGCGAGATATTGAGATTTTCAAATCGATTTTTTCCAATATCTCGAGCAGCGTACGTTACTGACGAAAATCGTAAATACAAAAATTGTAGCCGTTGATACGGCCTATAACACTGTTTGAACGGATTAGCTGTTTTTTGTACAAATTTTGATTTACGGGTAATTATTTACTCCCTAAAAGAACAATTTTCAGCGTCTTTTAGATTTTTGTCCATAACAAAAACTCCTTTTTTATAATCGAAACAATGCGTGAAACAAAAGTTATAGCGCCGGATCTCTCACGTATTACGGTTGTAAAATTTTTCCGATCGGATGAATGGTTTTGGAGGAAAAGATGTTTTTCTTAAAGCCAAAATAACCAAAAAAAAATTTAAAAAATTAAAAAAAAATACTTCGCGTTATTTTATTGCCCCCAATTTAAATAGTCTAAGTGCGGGTCCGGACTTCTACATCTACCGTTACCAAGATATAAAATTTTTATGCGAGCGTAGATACTTTCGAAAAATTCGATTTTTCGAAAGTAACAAGACACTCCAGTGACCTCCCACCACCACCAATGAAACTTCTCAAAATTTTGTATTCTTGTTTTTGTGTACTATTAAACAGATTTTAAATGAAAAATCTTGTGTGACATGTTTAGAGGAACGGATGACACAATAAGCTGTTGAAAATGTTCTATGTAATTTCTCTATTGAAAATTCCATAGCATTGAATTCCCTGTACCCTTTAACATCTTTGCTTCGTGGTTACTAAGCGAGACATAATTTTTTAAAACGTCTGCGTTTTCCTCGAAATCACTGAATAATGTTAGCCAGTTCTTGCACAAATATCCGCCTTGGCGAATTGCTATCGTTTGCGCTACCAATTACTTTTTTCAAGTGTCCTTTAATTTAATTTCTTAGTCAATTTAAATAAATGACATTCCATAATCAGCTACCCCACGAAATGAAATATTTATTGATTAATTTGTATCCAAATCGTGAAAATGTTATTTCATCGGTAGCACAAATCGTTTGGAAACAGTTGCAAATAACTTATACTAACAAAATCCCTCGTTTTGTTCTTTTTTCAAAAGTTGTTTTTTATTACATATTATATTGGGTTTTGTTTTGTAAAAATATTAATTATTGTTGAGAAGAAGGAAAAAATAAATAGAAAAAAACTGAAATAAAAATTGGGGATTTAGCAATTAGCCCACATTTTTTTAATTCAACCAAGCTCCCAAAATTTTTAACGCAACACCACTTGCAAGAACTGTCAATTTTGGACTCACATATTTCTGAAGATAAGCCAGTAACTAGGTTAGGATATAATAGTCAGGTAATCATGTAATAAAATTCTAATCCAGTAATGAAATGAAAATAGGGGATCTGTGCCAGAATACTGTTACTGAGAAAATAATTTTTTGAATTAAAAACCACTGAAAACTCCCTTCTAAATGGAATAAAAAATAATAAGTATTTTTTAAATGTTATTTAATGACTTTTTTAGTATGTTTATATATCATTGCAGAAATTTGATGTATGTAAACTTTCCACCTACTTTTTAAATTTATTAGCGCCCAGTGCTATATTTTTTTTAATGCACTGTTCTAATGAATTAGGTTACTGTGGCATGAAACTTTTCTTCGTCCAATTGATGTTTTTCTTCTTCGACGACATATATTGATATTGCTTCTTTTCCTTGCAACCCGTTTAAATTAAGAACATATGCGAAGATCAGATAGAAGAGGTGTTTTGGTTAGTTTGACGATTGACGCGGCGATGTGTCGGAAATTTACATTCCATTCTGACTTTTTCAAGCTTTCTGAAATATGGTCGCTCGGTTAGCGCGAAATCCTACGACACCCCTATACAACAACCACTGATTTTTTAATTTAATTGTGAATAATTTTCATAATTCTTAATTTTTTCTACCTCGGACACTACTTAGAGAACTTGTTTTGCCTGGTATTAATTTTTTGGCACTGTATGAGTTTGTTGAAATAAAACTGAATCTAATATTTAAGTGTTATATCGTGACTATCAGAAAATTCTTATAAAAACAGCTCTGGAATTTCGGCAAGACACCTTTTGCTTTTGCGACCTCTTTATTGCTGTAATTCATTGTTAGATGGTCTACCCCCCTGAATTCGCGGTCAGCCACTAGTTAAGCCAGATCTTGATTTTGAACCCCAATTTTTGAGTTTGGGACATCCGTTATAATTGTGTCAAACCTTTTTTTTAGTATTAGAGAAGGACATGTTCTCCTCAAAACACAGTTAGTGTAAGTTGCTTTGCTGAATCTCTACTAAACTGCACTGTATATTTGAGTTAAATAATATCTCTACCTTGGAATCCACATTTAATTTTACAAGCTGTATCTCGCTATTCTAAAAGCGCAAATTTCTTAGCATTAATTCCCTTTCATTCATCTTGTTTTAATGATTATAAGACAATCCATACCCCGCTGCAGTGCGGGTGTTTGATGATGTAGTGTTGCATAAGAGTACTACTACATGTCTCCGGGTTCATTTGTCCACTGTTGGGTGCAAGCCTACAACACAGTGAGCCTTGCGCGCGACCAATTGAAATTCCGCGATCGGGGGGTAGCCGTTCTGGTACGGAGCGTCGCGAATCGGATTTTTCTCGAAAATACCTCATTTTTATAAACGAAATCGCGATACACTCGAAGTACGGTGACAGAGTGATGGCCGCCGAAAATTTATTACACACGGATCGCGAGGCCGTACGAAAATTAGTGCTCGAGACGCTGGGAAAAACAGAGGCAGATGTTCTTCGCGCCCTCGATCAGCTGAGGAAATGGAATTCAGAGTTTTGCGAGGACTACGGTAAAAATTGCCTACTCGAAAACGACACGAAAGAACGTTTCAAACGTTTATTTAAGATGGAAAGGATAATCATAATTTTCCGAGATAGTGAGGGCTCGATTGTATCCAATTTTCTGTTACGTTTACGCCCAATTTATTATTCTGAGATGTGCACTAAGTAGAACAGAAATTATTCTTCTTCTTATTATTATTAGTTGCAGAATAAAAATAGCTTGGCAAAGGGCATGGCACTGATTTTATTGGAAAATTCTTCCTTTCTATCGAGTGCAGTTAGTAGTCAATTTATCGGTTTTGCATATCGTTATTTATTCACCAACACGTGGTGTGACGTGTGCAAGAGTTTTGGCATTATATCCTATGCTGTATACGATGCAATTCCATTTTGACGGACTTCCTCATTTCAGTCATTAATATCTCATTAAACTAATCCAATATATCTGCCCTTAAACACGGATGCTATTCAGGTTTTATTACCTATTTTACAAACAAATTCAACACATGGTATTCTAATCTTTGGGTGAGTAATCCATTTAATATGTTTATTTATACGTATTCAAAATGATATTCTCTATAGTCGGTACGATTTGTGATGGCATAGTCGGCAAGGAAATTCCAGGCAGAATAAAATAAATCGTTCATCTTGCTTCCACTTATACTCTAACAGATGTTGTTCTGCCTTAAATGTCTATCTGATCAATTCAAGACAGCCGTCACGAACGATCAAGATTATATTACTTGGGAGTAAAAAAGATAGAATCAGTTGTTGGATTTATTAATTTAACTAATAATAGATCAGGGTATTTCTTAATGATATTCGAATATTTAAGTAGGTGAATCTACCTCAAAAAATTATGATAATTTGTTAAATAAACTCTTGTTCGAAAACTGTCCTTGCAATAAAAATTAAAACAATAAGAGAACAATCGGAAAAAATATCTTACCATATCTTACTATTTAGTTTGCATTTACCATAAATAATCTTCATCATCAGAATCAAAATTGCAAATGTAACTACCAGAAAATGCTCCTTCGTCTACATTAATAAGTGGTGATACCGTTATATCAACTGTATTCCATTTTTTCCAGTATTCTTTTATAATATTTTCTGTATGTGTTATACAACTCATCCAATTTTCTTTTGAAACCGTTTCGAGAGCTGCCTTCCAAACATATACTACTGTAGTTTCATCGTGCCTGGCCTTACTTACAAAATTTTTATTAAAAAATATTTTGCATTGAGATCGCACCAATTCTATGGCATTAAATATACAATGATAATGACGCAAATTATTTTATCTGTAGCACGCGGCAAGTTTGTTTTGTAATTTCTGACAATTTTTACAACTCACATTTTAGACCATTTTCAAATGATAATTTCTTCTTTTCTTGCATTTGGTACAATTTCATCAAGTCTAAAACGATATCGTGCATTATGGTGGAAACTACTGTGATTATCCATTAATTGGTGCTATCTCTGTCGAATGTATGAAACTGGGGTGTAATAGGCAAAGGCAGAACACTGGAAGGTAAGTGTGTGGGTTTTGCATTTCTTAGTATACGAGTAGAGGAAGATAAAATACTGAGGCACCTTCTTTCTTGGTTTTATGACCGACAATGTTTCCGCAAATCGCTGGGCTGAACTGATTCTACGACTTATATACGGTTCACGGCAATGTTGTGCTGCTTTCTTTCATTTAAAATGCATTGCCTATGCTGCTCACAAAGTATTCTCAGTATCTTCATCATCAGTAGTACTACAACCCTGGGTGGGTCTTGGCTGCGTTTAGAATTCGCCTCCATTAGTGACGGTCTTCTGTCATTTGGGGTTGGTACGTGTATCCCATTGTCCTGAGATCGGATATTACATTATCTTGCCACCTTAAACGAGGTCTGCCTAGAAGTCTTCTCCCAGCTGGATTGTCCCTCCAGACTAGCTTTGTAATTCTATTTTCTGCACTACGTTCTATGTGTCCAAGCCATCTTAGTCGTCTGGATTTAGTCCCCCGGACAATGTCCGCTTCCTGATATATGTCTCTCAGCTCATTGTTGTTTCTTCGTCTGTAGTTTCCCATTTCAGTATCTTTTAAAGGGCCAAAGATTATTATTAGGATTTTTCTTTTAAAACACCTCAGTTTTCTCTCGCTTTGCTTTCGTCATTGTCCAGCTTTCGCACCCATACATTAGAATCGGTCTTAGTATGGTTTTATAGATGTTAATTTTGGACTTTCATGATACCACTTTAGGACTTTAAAGACTCCAGAAAGAGCAGGTTTACGCTCTGGATGTGACATTTTGTCCTACACGGTCTCCGTTTACCTGTCTGCTGACACACATATATTTTGTTTTTTCTTCATTTACTCTAAGGCCCATTTTGCTGGCGTTCTTTTCTATTTTTACAAACATTTCTTTCACTCCATGATGATGATATCGATATCATCAGCGTATGCCAGAAGCAAGTGTAGTCCATTTGGTGAAAACATTTCTAGGTTCACTTCTCCATCTCTAATGACTTTTTCTAGGGCGATATTGAACAGCAAGATAGTGCATCTCCCTGTCGTAAGCCGTTGTTTGTGTGAAAATAGTCTGACAATGTGTGACTATACGGACTGCACTTTTTGGGCCGCTAACGCACATCTTTATCAGTGCTATGAGTTTTGCTGGAATGGAGAATTCTGACGGCTTCCCACAAAGCGGTCCTCTTCACCCTATCACATGCCTGTCTATAAATATATATAAGTCTATAAATAGATGATGAATTCCTTTGTTAAATGCCCAGCATTTTTCTAGCATCATCCGTATGGAGAAAATTTGATCTATGGTTGATTTATTGGGTCTAAAACCACACTGATATTCTCTAATTATATTTTCTGCATATGGTGTCAGTCTATGTAAAAGGATATTCGCTATTATTTTGTATGAGGTGTTAACAAGCGATATTTTACATTTATTTCCCTTCTTATGAATGGGGACAATTATGCTTTCTTTCCACTGCTCAGGCATGTTTTCCGTTTCCCATATATCCGAAATCAATTGGTGCAGATTCTTGTGTAATATTTCTCCTCCGTATTTTATTAGTTCCGATGGAATACTACACTGCCTGGGGCTTTTCTATTTTTTAATTTTGCTACAGCCGCTGTCACCTCTTCCAAGCTTGGTGAGTCGACTGGTCAGTCAACAGTTTGAAATATTTTTCTCTTTGCTTCTTCTTGGCCTTGGGTGTTTAGAAGGAATTCGAAATGTGTCTTCCAGGCATCCAGGATACTACTTTGCTTGTATTCTTATTCAGTATCACTTGGATTATAATAAAATGTATGCCGAATCAAGGGAGACGATATTCCACGATTTATTAATAATGGGCTCTACATTCTCTCATTCGTTAGTACAACATGCGCTAAATATTGAAGCGTCCAAATGTAGTAGATTATATTCTGAGAAAATGAATGCGTTGCAAGTGTCCCAAGCAACTGTTGAAAAATGTTACGATCATTCAAGTCAACGAAATATTAATCAACATAACCTCAACTCCGTAAAAAATCAAATAAAATGTTGAACCGGTGTAAATACGTAAAATACCTGCAAAATTATTAAAATGTGGTGTTTAAAAATTAATGGTAGGTCAATTAAAAACTTGGGGACTAAAGTAATAAGACATATCAGTTATGCAGTTGATTTATTATTTGTTCTCAATTATAAGCACCAGATATGTTATTCACATTAATAGTTCCGGTTGATATAAAGGGCTATTTGAAATCGTTCAGGGTGTATTTTGGAAATACAGTTTCAAAATAATTATTAATTCCAATAAGTTTAGACTAAATTGTCAATAACTTTACCAATAACGCCTATATATACATACTGATTAATTACAAAAAACAAAAGAATTAAAACATAAATAGGCAAATATTAATAAGCTAACGGTTCTTCTTATCTAGACAAGATTTGGCAACGCCTAACCAAATGTCAAATAAATCGAACGCTAGTATGGATAATATCTTGCGTTTTTTGGAGCCATTGTGTAGATGTTGTTTTGTCTTGCAGTGTGCTCTAACTATAACTAACCAAAAAGAACACTGAGTGTTCGAAGTGTTTTCGGAGCGCGAGCATTGAAGATGCCAAGTGAGATTTTGGCGAAACGTCTGCAGGATTCCAGTCGGATGCAGGATTTGCAGGATTCCAGTCGGATGCAGGATTCCAGTCGGAGTTCAACGAGCGAACGGATGATATCCCGGAATATAGTGTCATCACATTTTTCCATCCGTGAATCAATACGTGAGAATATATATATATATATATATATATATATATATATATATATATATATATATATATATATATATATATATATATATATATATATATATATATTGTACGTATTGATTCACGGATGGAAAAATGTGATGACACTATATTCCGGGATATCATCCGTTCGCTATATATATATATATATATATATATATATATATATATATATATATATATATATATATATATATATATATATATATATATATATATATATATATATATATATATATATATATATTATATATATTTATATATATATATATATATATATATATATATATATATATATATATATATATATATATATATATATATATATATATATATATATATATATATATATATATTTATATATATATATATATATATATATATATATATATATATATATATATATATATATATATATATATATATATATATATATATATATATATATATATATATATATATATATATATATATATATATATATATATATATATATATATATATATATATATATATATATATATATATATATATATATATATATATATATATATATATATATATATATATATATATATATATATATATGATGACACTATATTCCGGGATATCATCCGTTCGCTCGTTGAACTCCGACTGGAATCCTGCATCCGACTGGAATCCTGCAAATCCTGCATCCGACTGGAATCCTGCAGACGTTTCGC